AAAAAAAAAAAAAAAAAAAAAAAAAAAAAAAAGAAAGAAAGAAAGAAAGAAAGAAAGAAAAGAAAAAAAAAGAAACACAGTGAAATCCTTCTTAGCTTGCATGGTCTCTGATCTCAACTGTGCTAAGTTTTACTTTATCTAGGTAGCATTTTTTTTAGGGACAGGGTACTAAGGATTGAATTGAATGCCTTCATAATGAACTACATATCCAGCTCTTTTTAATTTTTTTTGTTTTTTGAGATAAAGTCTTTCTAAATTGCTAGATTGTCTGCCCACATCCAATCAAATTTGTGATCTGCCTGCCTCAGCTTCCCCAGAGTGCTGGGGATTACTGGGCTGCCCCACCACACTTGGCTCCAGGATACATTTCTAGGGCATGCATTTTGTACCAAGAGCCAGAGAAACAAAGGTCGTTCGTCTCTTACATTGTCTCTCTTTCCCATGCCTTCCTATCTGTAATCTGTCTCCATGAAGAGTTATTTTAAATATGCAGAGCGTATCAATTTCCTGCTCAAAATTCTTTTTGTATTTCAGATAACTTCTGAACCCATAGCTTTGGCTGCAGTGCCCTACTTTGCCTTACATTTTCTGTTGTTGAAAATATCAATGTGATCCCTAAATCGGTGCCTCTCTGGGCGTGGAGGTGGGAAGGACTCCAGACAATCGAGTTCTTTGCAGCTTTCAAGACAAAGCACATTACCTTTACACCTTTTCTATCTTGTATATTTGCTCTCTTTTATCACCAATTCTCTTATTTCCATTTGCTAACCCCCAATTTTATCTCAATTCCCCTCCCTCCACGTGTAACCATTCTAAAATGTTTCAAGGGTATTTTCTGTTATGCCCTATGGGCATGTGGTTTAAAGTATGCATCATATACCTCATACTTTAGGTTTCTGAGATCTAACTGTATTGCTAAGGGCATGCTCACACGCCCGGTATACACATTTTAAGGGTCCACGCTTCCTGTGAGGGAAGCCAGGTCGCCTCCTACTGGTCACCTCCGGGAACAATGCAGCAGGGACCACTGGCAGCTTCAGCACAGAGGCCCCAGTGAGCATAGGACAGGCAATTTGCAGCACTTTGCTGATTGGCGGCTGAGGGCTTTACAGATTAGCCTCACTGGCCTCAGGGCCTTTGCACCTGCTCTTCAGGCAGTCTGGAATAATGATTTCTTGAGCCCTTCAAGGACTTTCTCTTGCTCCCCAGTGAGGTCTCAGCTCAAATACCATCGCTCAGAGAGGCCGTCCCAATCTGGCTGTTATCCCTACAACTCTCCCTCATCTGGCAGTCTTCCTCACTTTCATTTACATGTCAGCACCCGTCACAATTTGCAATCATCTATAATCATTTACTTATTACCTATCTTTTCACCATTAGAGTGGGGTGGGCATCTAGCACAGTTCTAGCTAAAGCAGGCTCTCAACCCCTATTTTTGAATACATGAATGAAATAATAAATGAATACCATTGTGAAATGGACCCACTTAACTTTCTACGGCTAGAAAAACAGGAAACATAACGCGCAGGTAGGTAGGGCAAGTGCTATTTATTTATTTATTTATTTATTTATTTTTGGGGGGCAAGTGCTTTAGAAAGGAGTCAAAAGGCAGGTGGAGGCCCAGGCCATGGACGTGTGGCTCCCTTGCTCTACAAACGCGCTATAATTCCGGAAAGTGGAACTCTCTTGAGGGTTGGTGCTAACCTCCTCTAGCCTGCAGGGGGCGCTCGAAACACGCCATCATGGAAACTACGTTTCCCAGCATCCCGCGCGCA